ATTTATATGTGTTAACACATGTGCATAAACGAATTAAATATTCGTTATATATAAATATATAAAATATATAATTCCTTATAATTTTCGTTATAAATTTTTATGATTTTTGTTTATATATATTACAGTGTATGTTAATACATGTTGATACGTGTTAACATAATTTTATATATAAAAGTTATAATTGTTTATATATTTCATACTCTCTATTTTATTAAGATATATTTCGTGTAATATTTTACGTAAATATGTAATAATTTTGTCAATTAAAATTATTCGATATTAATTTTATATCATATTTGATATACATATTAGAAAATATTTATATATATGTATATAAGAGATAATAGTTTACATATTTCATGCATGATGTTTTGTTAGAATATAGTTATGTATTTAAATATGTTGAATTTTATTTCCAAATTCTGAGTGTAGAATATTACAAAAGCGGATCAAATTAGTTGGAATTAGTCCAACGATATTGTGATCTAGTATTTTCATGCGTTCGAGGTTTCACTTTTCCCCCTAATTGATTTAATAGCAGTAGCTGAGTTAAAAAATGCTTATCTTCCCCTCTGAAAATGCGGATATGCTACCATGTTTTTCAATCAAGTGTCATTAATCGAGGTTTTTGAAGCCTCGACCTAATTAGTAGTACTATTTTTTATTGGCGTATGACCGTATTTTAATCTTGCCTTTCATATGAAATTTACTGAAGTGCTTTTTGGGCTAATAGCTAGATAATCTTTTCAAAACATTTATGAGAAGTTACGATGTTTCGTATTTTACGTTTTAGATCAAAATTTGATTCGGTCAAAAATGAAATTTAAATCTAAATAATTGTTGTTTTTATCCGTAAACTTTAAAAATCTTTTAAATCTTTAAAATGAGAAGATCTCTGTTTATTTTAATATAAACAGAATTTTTAAAATTTTTTTTATTTCTCTTAATGATAATATAATATCCATCAATATTATATAATAATACAATATAATAATTATGGCATAATACCAAATGTAATATTAAATACTCTCAAATATAATTGTCAAACGTAAAAATATAAATATCTGAAATTTCTATTGTATCTGTAAACTATAAAATATAAATATAAATATTGTTCAAATTCTGATAAAATCTTGTAGTACTCTATATTAGAACGTGCACTGCAACGAGTGCGTGGTTTCAGAGAAATAATCGCTTAGTTCCTTCTACGAAAGCATATTTTCTTTGTATTGGCATTACCTTTTTTTCCTTTCGTTTCTTTTGCTTCCCATTAAAGGTAGAGATTGAAAAGGAAAAAAGGATCGCGTGAATCTAGAGAAGAATAAGGCTTGTTGAACGCTTTAAATAGAATTGAACAATTGAACGTTGACGAACGTTTGGATTTTCGAATTCATTATTAAATTATTTAAACTTTTTGTACTTAAAGAGCTATGTATTATTAAGCTATGTATTGTACACAACGAAGGTACATAAATCGTATGTTTAGTGTTTCATATATTACAATAAAGATACATAGTTATTGCGATATGTATATAAACTACACACGTGGGTACATAAAGTGTACCTTTATATTTAGTAAGTTATGAAGGGTTACAATACATAAAGTATTATGTCTTAAAATAATTTAGAATTTTGAATATGAAAGCTTGTTTTTCGTGTGTTTTACTTTACATATTTTAAGTTGTGTATTTATTTTACATACATTATATTTAATATTACAATTATAAATTATATTTAATAATATAATCGAATATTATACTATAGCAGTGATAATAATAATAACGGTAATAATTGGAAGAATAACATTATTACTGATTATATGGTATGTAATCATATACATATGCAGTGTTGCTATAATATAGCAAGTAACAATTATTTTAATACATATAATTATATTTTGGTGTTACATATAATATTTATATTCATATAATATACGTATAATATTTTAATGTTTCTATATATATTTATACATCATATTTTTTATCGATATTCGTATTTGTTTTAATTTAATGATTAAATTTCACTACTGTTACAAGTCCTTGATTTGATGATTTCTCCCAATGATTTTGGTAGTGCATATTATTCAATTATAGTTAAAAAGAAAAGTAATTCACAGAAAATTTAAGAAGATGTATTTAAATATTTTCATCTCTTTCATGATTGAGAAATTCTTTATTCCTTCCCTAATGGTGATATTATTAGTAAATGCCAATAACTATGATTTAACGATCATATGCAAATA